ACGAGAGCCTAGAAGAAGCCTACAGGAAGGTTAAGTCACAAATCAGTCGTCGAACGTACCGATGACGACAACGTGGAATTGCGTCGACTAACAAAGTAGCCAACCAAATAACACCGAGCAATTTAACTCTTCGAGGAGTGGGTTCTTCGGGTGGTCGCGTTGAGAGAGAGAAAGCCGGTTTGTTGGAGTGTTGTGGGAAAATTAACCGAGTCACCGCCGGAAATCGTTGCAATTCCAATTGAGCAGGAAGAGGCAGCGGCGGATCCATGTCCGGGACCAGGCCGTTTGGGCAACCGTTGGTGTTGATGCCCCAGTTGGCACCGTCCTCCTCGACTTCGGCCCCTCCGGTCCCAGCGAATCCGATCGGCAGAAGGAAACGATGACCTGCGAAGCGGCCACGCGTCCTGGAATCGCACGACGACGCCTGGGCGATCCGAAACACGAAAATATTTATTCACGATCGTTGAACGGACGAAATCAAACGACTGGTCGCCGTCATTCGGGACGCGGAACAGTGCCGTTGTTATAAAAACACGTTCGACGTTTACTAACCGTGGAATTGCTTGGTCGTGACGATGGAATTGATAGCGTCAATTGATCGAGAATCGACACGTTGATCGATACGGTAGTTTTCTTTGAGAGAGAATTATCTTGGCACTCGAGGAATATGGAATTGCAGTGGATACAGGGTGGAATTGTTAGAAATGATCGTAGGATGGAGAGATGAAGATGTTAGAAGTGTTTTCCGATGAATGATTACGGGATAAAGGGATGGAATTGTTAGGAAAAGTTCGATAAGCAATCGTAGGGTAGAAGGACGGAATTGCCAATGTGATTTAATTACATGGTCGTTGCTGTGATTGACACAGTAATTGTTTTATTGCTCGTTTGAGCAGTGGTAGGGTGCATGAGTGACCTTTGCACTATGAAATTCTTTAAGAGAAGATCGAATTTGACGGAATGAAAACGTACGAAACTATCGTTCGAAAATTTCTGTGTTGTACTAGAAAGAACTGTTGGAATTTCGGAGAAATGAAAGGTGGAATTGCCGGGGAATGGAACGTGGAATTGTCGAAAGTTGTTCTACTGTGATGCTATGAATTATTCTGTCTTCGATATTCTAGCTTAAACAGATTTATCAATTGCCTTCGTCCCTTTCCGCGAATGTTTTCTTTTCAATTTCGTATAACGAAAACTGTTACGATGAAAATTTGAATAGAATAGAAGGAATTGCCGAGGCTTACGTTGTCTATTGATAATTGGAATTGCAATTTTATTTTTCATTTGTTTATCGATAGACTGAGAAGAAGTTTTGGAATTGCCAAGTTACAGTACAGCATGGTATAGATTCCAATTGTTTATATTTTTTATCCGAAACAACCACGATTACTGGCAACTAATAAACAACGAAAAACAATTTGGAATTGCTGAATTATGGACATCTTATTTTTCGAGGTTTGCGATCAACTCAGAAACCATTGTTTTTCAAGGGAATATTGAGAATTTTGCATATTTTCGTTCTTGAATTCAGCATGACCAAATCATTAGAAAGAAAACGAATATCCGAAGTTCCTAAACCGGTGAAATTATTTGCAGGACTTTTGTTTATTACGTACAGGTTGTTTCAAAAAAGACTATGCTACAA